ACAGGGAGGAGCTGTGGAAAAATGGACACCAGGTAAAATCAAAAGTCGCCTCAGCTTTTCAGAATAAGTTCATCCAACTAATATCTCATTAAATCCATCCATGTTTATTTCAGTGTGAAATCATGTGTGATGATTTAGGATTTAGATCACATACTCCTGACGGCAAAACAGTTTAAATCTGCATAAACACAGTCAGAATGAACCTGGAATAATCAAAGTCTAGATAGATAGATAGAGATATAGACAGACAGACAGACACAGATATACACTTTATTGATCCCTGTTGGAGAAATTGATGTGTCCAGTGACAGAAAACAAATCCATAAGTACAACAATTATACACATTTCTAATTAACTAACTAACAATAGTGCATATTTTTAACTTGGACAGGTCTGTTGTACAGTCTGACAGCTCAAGGAACAAAGGATCTCTTAAAACATTCCGTTCGGCAGCGCAGTGACATAAGCCTGTTGCTACGATTACTCCTCTGAGCAGCCACAGTGTCATGTAAAAGGTGTCTGAAGTAAAAATAGGTAAAATAATGTGGTAACAGAAGTAAAAATAGGGAAAATATTGTAGTAAAAGTAAGTAAGTAAAAGTAAAATGTATTTATATAGCGTCTTTCTCAGACCAGTGTCACAAAGCGCTTCACATTAAAAGCAAGATCAATACATATATGTAGAGCATACAGAGTAAAGAAAAAAAAACACAAATAATAATAATAAAATCGTAGATTGTAAAATTGTAGAAACAAAGACAATAGCCAAAGTGCCGTCCGGGGGCCACATTCAGCCCGATGTCTATGCGGCCCCCATGTTTTTGATTCTGAAACTAGCTTTCGGATCTGGCTGTAACGTGAATCCTGAGATGTGTGATCTGACATACACACAAACACATGCTTACAGTGGGTAACACAAATCCACCAAACAACACAAAACCCCGAGGAGACCACACCTTCCACATACAGTACATTCAACTGCTATGTTTCTTTATTATGCAGTCACAGTTAAAATCCATAGGTTTAATGCATTGGAAGCAAAAGGGCCGCCATAGATTCCACTGTATGTCTGAAATATCTTTTGTGGAATTTACCGGGAATGTGACGCTGACAATTCCCTGTGATGTCACGAGAATGTATTTCGATGTACGGCCCAAGTACCTTTTATAATTTTCAAATACACTGCATTCTTCAAATGGAGTGAAAAGTTGAAGAGAAATGAGATACAAAGCTGAAATAACCTACATCGTGAGTCATGTGACCTTTAACAAAACAAGCAGAGATTTTATTCACAAAATAAAAAATCATGAGTGACATAACTTTTTCACATTCTATACTTTTATTATAAAGTAAAACTGAAATGTGAGGGGTTACAAACGTATAAAACCTCTTTTAAATGCAACCAATTTTCCTTTTGCTTGATGAATTCTTCTTTATTTTTATGGTTTTTAATTAGTTATGTGATGATGTATTCCTTATGTGACGGGGGTGTGAAGCACTTTTTTGTTACCTTGTGCAGGAAAAGCGCTCAACAAATAAAGGTTGATTGATCAATTATAGACTAGTCGAGTCCACCAGACGGTTTTGATGAAAAAATTGAAAAAAAAAGGAAAATCAGATTATAGTTATGCAAGGAGTGGAAATACAAAACCCAAAAAACATTCTGTAATTTTAGGAAACTGTGTTACACCACAAATCATGGGGGCTCAATACTTCTGCAAGCCACATTGTTGTTACTGTACTGATATTTAGAACAAATAATTATGAAAAGTATGATTTTTTTACTTCACAATTACTGTATCTGCTAGTTTGTGTTAGTCTTTGACAAAAATAACCATTAAAATATCTTTGTGGTTGTAATCAGAACGTGGGTGTGTCATAGGATGTGCATGCGTTTTTATTAATTTTTTGGCCGCTTATTTATTATGTACCTGTGACTGTGTGAATGAGAGCAGCAACGCATCTTATCAAGGCTTTTTTCTCTTCAAACTTCCTTTGAGAACACTCAGATCATCTCTCAGGAATCAATCAGAGCTTGGAGGCCGCACAGAGGAGGTGTGGGTCAGTTCACAAGACTGGACACTACATTGGTCGCATCATGAGACCGTGACCAAGAGAACTGTCCCAAGAGCAGCAGAGAGGCAAAAGGTGCTGATGTCAGGAGATCTGCCTCAGGGAAATCTTCAATGTGTGCTTCTGAATGTGTTATTAAAGTGGGAATCAAGTTCAAAATGATCTGCATTTAAAATAGTCCCTCTCTTTGGATGATTACAACCTGTGATATTTGCTGGAGGAGAATGTTTAATTGTGTCCAACCAGTTCTGTTAGAGCCAAGAAGAAGTACTGGATATGGATGGAAAAGGGGTTGGATGAAGCTCAGACTCATTTTATTCTAACTGTCATGGAATTAAAATAAGAGGACCCAAAAATAATAATGATTTAATGATGATAAATGAAAGTCTAAGATGAAAAAAACAAACTGGAAATCCAAACAGAAGCAGGAACGAACAAAGACAAGCAAAGACCAATGGACCAGCAACAAAAGGGAGAGGAGGGCATACATATTGAACAGATGCATCAACGTCATCCAGTCACGTGATTGTTCATGACCTTACGGCGGAAGCAGTGGAAACTAGCATTGTGGCAAGAGCAAAACGGACTACAACTCTTAAAAACTGAGCTTCCTCTCTTAAATCGAGAAGTGGCTGCTTCAAGCACATGTTCGATTACGTTATAGGTGGAAGTAGGACATCAGGTCATGGCGCCGTAAAGATGGCGCCGTGGCAAGAGCTCCGGTGTGTGTCGTCTTCTCTGTCTGGTGCACACCGGGGTAGTCTTGCACAGTTTTTCCAATGTGGTTTTACTGCAAATGGCAAATAAATGAATCTGAATCTGAGGTCAGGGCTCACAAAGAGGGGTATGTGGAGAAGTTAAGGATTGTCTAACTGGATGTTGACCCGTACCTGATCCCCACAGTCAATTTGATCAATTAAATGGAATGTCTAATGTCTCATTTCAATGTTGCAGCGCACATACAGGACAGTAGTAAGAGACACGATTGACTTGTGTCATTGTCCTCCAAATAAATGAATGAAAAGAAAATAAATACAAACTTGTGATTGATTTATCTTGTAAAAAGTGCTCACTGCATATTAGGGAGTACTTGGATGGCTCCCAGTCCGTTTGGTTGATTGCCGCCATCGTCGTCTTCTGTTTTCATGACGAGCAGGTATCAGATAAAAAGGCACATTAGGCTTATGTCCTTGTCTGTTAGTACAACCAACCGCACTGCAAAATATCACAGTTTTGGCTGTAATTCACTGAAACAGGTTATTTTGGTCAGGTTTCCGAAGGCTCGCAGTTAGACTTCCGCCGTCTGTTATCGAGAGTAGGCGTGGCCGGGACGTCACATGCAGGGGTCAATAGACCAAGGGTGGCAAAGTGCAAATGAATGATCTTGGCCCCCGGAATGATATTTGATTAGTATTAGAACTGGCCCCGTCAGAGCCATAAGAAAATAATAGATTACTCATCTAATCTTCAGGAGTTGTGTTTTATCTTTGAAGGAAGTCTGTTTTGTCTGTGAGCCTGTTGAAAAATGTTTTCACTTGAAATTACTGACACAGCCATATTGAATCATTAAATTAATTATTCAATAAAATACGGTACACTGTACAAGGTCTAAGTTTAATAGGTTATATCTCATTTTAACGTTGTAATACACATTGTATGAGTCCAGCCCTCATTTTGTAGCAAATTTGTTTTTTTGGCCCTCTGATGTATTGGACTTTGACATCCCTGATATAGACACAGAGAGACACAGGTACATATAGAAATAGAGAGATACAGGTACATAAAGACACAGAGAGACAGGTGAAACACATGAGGGCGGAGCAGACAATCATACCGGGGAACAGGACAGGAAGTAAATCAAGTATAATAGCACAAATTCACACCATGACACTAACCCTACATCACACAAAACAATATACAGATATGATTTAATAATATGCAGTAGAATCCAAACACACATAATTGTACAGGAAATACAGTAAATGCAACACTGACACTTCCACAGAGGGTATAGACCTTCAATCAACCTTCATTTGTAGAGTGCTTTTCCGACACAAGGAAAGACAAAGTCCTTCAAAGCCCCTATCACATGAGGCATAAATCATTAAAATCACACAAGGAATTAAAATAAATGACAACAGTGCATTAAACTGGTTATAGATAAAACCCTTCAGTTCTTCTACCTGGATTTGAACACTGCCAGAAAGATGCATGTCTCACATTTTCAAGAAGACAGTTCCTGATCTTAGTTGCAGAAATCTATACTGTACATATGTGGCAGAAATCACGACCAAAAAGTCGTCAATCAATCAAACTTGAAATGGTCATGGTTGTGTACTTTAGTTTTAAACTGTGGATAATTTTGTTTACTCATCAGTTCTTGCCTTTTAGAGTTCTCCTTGAATTTGCCTGGCCCTAATGTCTTTCACCTGTCTTGGATTTCTGTGTTGACTACAGTATGTAGGAGGAGAAAATGCATATGTCCACCTTCGTGGAGAATTAACTCTTCTACGATGGCTTTAAAAATTAAATAAGTAGAATAAGCCTATTTATGATAAATGTGTGCTTATCATACAGAGTTTACTTAGACAAGTTAAAATGAGGTAGAATACCTTGGACACCAATCTTAAAGTTATAAAGGTCTAAGCAAACTCAATATAAATCAGTCTCATAAAATCTAAAAGTGTGAATTCTTTAATCTCTACAGGGAGTCCGTGGTCTTTGTTGAAGGAAGTGTTTACGTCCAATGTCCAATGTAGTTGAAGAGGAGGGTCTCGTTCGAATGTCCAGCGCGAAAAGAAACGAGGTCACACGTAAGGCCCGCTTACGTGCGTGAGGGCAGAGAGGGAGGAAGATGGCCAAAGAAGACAAGAGTTACAAGAGAGTTCCAAGAGCGAAGAGCGCAGTGTGTGTCTCTGCTTTGGTTTTTTAGTCGTTGGTTTTGGCTTCGTTCTCCTGTTGGTTGAGCAGGAAAACCATGGCCAGTTTTTCAAACCACTGGGTGAGGTTCTTGCCTCCAATTGTATCGGACATGGCGTCAGTTGCCAGGTCTATTGTGGTCTGTTCTAGTGCGGGGGTTGTAGCCCCACTGAACTGGTCCCATGTCCCTGGGATCAGTTTTGTGGTGAAGCTTCGAAGCAGGTCAGTCACCTGCTCTCTTGACTTCCAGTCTGGCTCTTGGAAATGTAACTTCATGTAATGTGCACTTTGAAAACCTGCTCTCTCTCTGTAACCCTGGTTATTTGTCACGCATATTTTTGAGCTGGACTCAACGTACAAGCCACGGCCAGGCAAGCGTGACTGTGTAACCATCTGTTCAAGGAACTGAACTCTCTTTCTCCCTCTCCGGACCGCAACCAAAAGTACTGCAGTCGTTGTTTTGGACTCTCATTGAACTCTCACCAATCCGTTCTGTGAAGGACAGCCGTACCCGCACATTCTCAACGCGTGATAACAGCCACGTGTTCCTTCGCATCCACAACACGCTGGGAGGGAGCCAGAGACCCGATAAGCGACCAGTCTTCTCACAGTAAGACTGAACTAAACCCTGTACTGGTTGTTTGGGTGTTATGGTGAAATGTGATTTGAATTATTCTGGTTTTATGTCACTAAATCCTTCGTTGCTCTACCCCTTTCTTGTGTTTAGTAAATAAAACTAGTAACCAATCGTCATTGCTTCTTTATCACAATCAACTTGATTTCCCTGGCAGATTAGACCTCTAAACCTCGAGATTATTAGGCTGACCAAGGCATAGATCTAGCATAGTAGTATTGCAGGATTTTACCCTGATGGTGCCCTCTAAACTTGAATCTATAGCTACGCTAGGTCCGAGTGGTGTGACTCTTAGAACAACACTTTGTGGTGGCTATAACCAGCATAAAGTTTGCTCTGGAACAATGCTCACTCTCTCAATTTTCTTCCCCTACAACTATTATCCTGAATTGGGTTTTACTTAATTACTTTACACTTGTATTTGCAGTTTTACAATTTGGTTCTTTCTTTTGTTTTTCACCCCATGACACAAAACCACTTTATGACAAATCCAATCAATTTCATACACTGAAATCTGCTAAATGGAAGTAAGTAAGTAAGTAATGTTTATTTATATAGCGCATTTTTTCAGACCAAGGTCACCCAAAGCGCTTTACAATGTTCAGAGTTCAGATATGGTTTCACTTATTCCACACACGTTGATGACGGAAGAGAGTCGCCGAACACACTGGAGCATCAGCCCCCAATCAACACCATCCCTTCACTCTCTCATTTACATTCATACCTATTGTGCATGTTTTTAGTGGTAGGGGAAACTCAGAGAGCACTCGGAAAAAACCTATGCAGACACAGGGAGAACATGCAAGCTCCACTCAGAAAGGCTGTGTTCCGACCGGGATTCGAACCCAGGACTTTCTTGCTGAGAGGTTTGGTGAATGTTAAGTTCAGTGCAACACGCTGTATATCTCAGTTCTGGGATCACTGGTATAATTTTCTTCTTAAAATACGTCCTTTTGTCTCTTTTTAGTTTTGTGTCTTTTTTGATTGTATTGCCTTGTATATGGACCTTGAGTCACAACACAAACCCAGATTTGTTCATTTATTAAACATTCAGGATGTCATAAAAGATTGTTTTGTTTTAGAATAAATATAGAGAATGTGGTTTTACTCGTTGAAAGCCTGTAGAATTATCACATTCGCCCATCGCCCCCTCCTCTAATACTGTAAAATACATTCCTTTTCTCGACATATTCCTCTGGTGTTTTTATTTATTGAACCATAAAAACGTGTATCGCACTTAGAACTACAATCTGATTTATACCCCGGCCATATAGCTAATAAAATTAACCACAACCACTTCAAACAATTCTTAATCATAGACACACAATTGGAATCATGACTATAAACTTATACGGCTCACAAAGGCTTATTGAGACATGTTTATTCATCCAATAGAAGCAATGCGCCGATACGGGCATGGAACTGACGGCGGCTGCAATGAATCATGGATGCACACACAATGAATTAAAGTACACGGCACAGCTGTCGGTGGGGAATTGGATCTCACTGAATCACTGCTCATAAATGAAATGCATGTCAGGTGCACTGCCGCAGCAAACACTCAAAGCAATAACTGCACGGGACGATACAGCGGGACGGGGTGCTGCGGCGGGCGCAAGGTGACGCGCAGATCTGACGGAGGTTGGAGTAAAGGGCCGTGGGTGATAAACATAGATGTAGCAGTGCTAGCTGCAAGGGTGCGTTTGATTGTATAGAGATCGTACAGTGGAGAGTAAAAAAACAGACCCAAAATCAATTCAATTTATTTTGTATAGCCTCAAATCACAACAGTAGTTGTCTCGGAGGACTTTACAAAGCCATTGATTTGCCAACAAAGAGAATCAAAAAGTTTAAACACAGTCCAAAGATTATAACACAGCTCGGTCCATATAATAACAATGCATCAGTTTTATATAGCTCTTTTTTGACTCTCAAAGACCATCCATCCATTTTCTTCCCCTTAATCCATTTCTGGGTCGGGGGGGTGGCCAGAGATGCCACCCAGTACACAGAGCACCAGCCCCTCACTGATCCTCCTGCAGGTGGTGAGTCCACAGAAGCTGAGATCTTTCAGTGGGGGCTTCAGGCAAAGAAGGGTTAAGTGTCTTGCCTAAGGACACACCGACAGCAGTCATCAGTGGGAGTCGTGAAGTAGTTCTTACGGTGGGCTCCAACCCACGACCTTCAGGCTCAAAGGCCAGTGCTCTACCAACTGAGCTACTGTCGCCCCTCTCAAAGACGCTTCACATTATTATTATTTATTTATTTAATATGGACATAACAATAACATTGGACGAACCAGATGCTTTGCTGTAAGTGTTTTAGCACAGGTGCTAATTTTCACATGTCATAATTGTTTCACTCCATACACGGTGGGGATAGAACACTATTGTAGCCACGGCTGCCCTGGGGCACACTGACAGAAGCAAGGCAAACAGTAGGTGCCATCGGCCCCTCCCACCACCAACCATTCACACAAACACAACAGACACTTTCTAATGTGGGTGAAGTTTCTTGCCCAAGGACATAACAACAGTTTGGCACTTTACAGCCGCAGCCGCCCCACTGTGACACCTGGTGTTCCCAGGGGTCTCCCATCACAGTACTAACCAGGCCCTGCCCTGCACAGCTTCAGAGGTCTGACAGGATCGGGCTATTGCATAAATTCAGTCCAAATTCCAACCATTGAGTGAAAAAATAATAATAATAATAATACATTATGTGATGGTAAGTGTATGCAGAAATAGGATCAATATAGATAGATAGATAGATAGATATATACTTTATTGATCCCGAAGGAAATTGTGCACTCGTCCCTTGCTCGCAATCATATAAAGATACATACATAGGTTAGAATTAAAAGATGCAAAAGTTAAAAAACGAGACAATAAATACATTAAAAACCTTAAAAGAGAAGTTAAGGCACTGCAAAAACAATTCTCAAGACCCCCCCTACCTCCCCCCTCCCTGTTCCTCCCTGAAGTGGCTTAGTTATAAGAGCCTGATGGCGTTGGGGACAAAAGAGTTTTTTAGTCTGTCCCTGGAGCACCTCAGAGAGAGGAGTCTGGAGCTCATGGTGCTTCTCTGGCGGGAAAAAAATGAATTTAGTGGGTGGCTCTGGTTGGACAAGATCACCCTGATCTTGGAGAGCGTTCTTTGCTCTACCACCTCCTCCACTGAATCCAGACCCAGACCCACCACAGAGCCCGCCTTTCTAATGAGCCGGTTCAGCCTCTCAGTGTCCCTCTTTTGTGCACTGCCCCCCCAACAGACAACTGCATAGAAAGGACACTAGACACAACAGACTGATAAAACATGTAGAGAAGCTTATCACAGACCCTGAATGATGCCAATCGCCTCAAAAAGTACATCCTACTCTGCCCCTTCTTGTACACAGCGCCCATGTTGGCTGTCCAGCTCAAAACACTCAGTCGAGCAAACAGACGTGCAGCCCCCTACGCGCAGGCGCATAACTCCCATCCCATGCATATAGTTTTATGTAGTAATCAATAGACACTTGGGAAATCAGATCAGAGGCAAATACATTACAATATATTATTGGTTTTAATCAATATTTTAATATGTCTATGTCTCTTTGCTTCACTTTCTTCCCTCATAAATATCTGTGTTAATGCATTCTACACAGGGGAAGGTCAGGTAACAACAAATAAAACAGCTCTTTTCGTGACCACCCGATCAGAAGACTGCACCGCACTCATTTTCGAACATGCCAAAGGGATGTAAAAATACTGTTTGTTGTTATATATAGCGCAGAGCCAACACCTTTGGGATAATGCCTTGAGTAAACAAAAACAGACAAGTCATTAAGAAGGTATACAGTGGATTGCCATTCATATCAAAGCTGTGCAAAAATAGACTTTAATGAGCCTCAAAAACAACATGATACCGACATTTTCACAAAGAAACATCCCAATTATTGTTTGGATCCGGCGTTGAACCAGAGTGTTGTTTGGTGCTGACGTTTTTTGCACTGGGCCTGGTAAAGAGGGTGTGAGGGACCGTGTGAAGAGTGTACCTCTGCCCTCGCGATCGATGTGTCTGGCAAAGCGAAGGTTGTTAGCTCAGAGCCGTCACCTGCGGCTGCACTGATAATACCCAAAACCCCACAAACATCATGTATTTGTCTTCTTTAGGGATTGCTCATTTGTTTTTAATTGTGCAGTGAAAGAATAGGTTAGTTTGTTGGCTTGTCCCCGGTGAGAAGCCTGGAGAGCTGTGTCATTGCTGATGTATTGTGAATCTGTTGTTTTCATTCTTGTTTGACTCATGTAGAACAGAGGAACACATTTCCTCAAACCAAGATCAAGTTTTTTACAGAAACCCTTGAGCCGTGATCGACCTCACATCGACCCCTTTTTGTAGGGGTGTTATGATTCAGATTTGGTTTGATTCATGATGTGTTTACGATTCATGATCAGGAAAGGACCATGCTGACTTTTTCGGCTGGAAAGAAATGCTCGAATAATCCTTTTAAACATATACACGTTTCTGCGCCCACGTTAGAACCAGAAAGCAAATGCTATGTTATAAATTAAATACCATGCAAATCATGCAAACAAACATTTGTAAGAGAAACAGAAAGGGCATTTAGCACCAGAAAAAGCAAACACAGGAAAGAATG